CTTAACCCTTGACTTGGTGTTGTCAGCACCACACTCTCCCAAGTGAGCTAACCGGGCATCCATATATAGGGATCTGAACACTTGGCCTTGGTGTTACCAGCACCGCACTCTCCCAAGTGAGCCACAGGCTGGCCTATTGCCAATACTTTCATCTAGAGGCCTATTGCCATTTTTGTCTTCTATGAAATTTTTATCCCCAAGAAAGGCAGGATTACATTTTTTTTTTAACAGATTGAGTTGGTATAGTGTATTCTTTGTTATCAAAATACTCATGTAGCTTTGGGATTCTGAATTGGTAAATATTCATAATGTGTGAAAAAGCATGATACTGTAACAATTTCAATCACTTAAAGTTGGACGTTGCATATACACACAGAAGATCTAGAAGTACACATCAAACTAACTGCTTGTGATTGTGGGTGACTTTGTTCTTTGCTTGTGTTTTTCAGATTCCTGTAATGCACAGATTAACTTTTAAAAAATAAAAGTTATCTTAAAAACCAAAAAAAAAAAAAAAAGAAGTAGGACAAGCAGAAGGAGAAAGACCCCTCAGCCCCAGGAATTAATGAGCCTGAGGGAAGTCTGAGATTGACAGATGGTGGAACATACGCCTGCTGGTGGCGTGGGGACGGCATGGAGTACTCAGTACACAGTGGCTCTCTCCAATACCATCAGTGGGGAGTTGCTGTTGACATCCCCAGGGTCCTCCAGGCCTACCAGGTGCTCTTAGGCTAGGAGGGGCTGCCACTTGCATCTGAGGGCCTCTAGGGGTGTCCCCACTGGAGGGCTGCAGGTTGTCCCCAGGAGGCTGCTTGCTTTCTTGCAGGACACTGTCTGAAGCTCGAGGCTCAAAACAGCCAGTGTGAGTTCTGCCAATTCACAGAACACTCCCAAAAGGCTGTACTCTCTTGCCAATGTGTGAGGGTGACTTACTGCCATCCCATAGTAGGAACGAAGTCAGGGATCGCCCAGGGCCACTCAGCCAGACCCATGCCCTCACCTTACTGTGGCTGATGCCTGCAGCCGCCGCATCATGCCCTGGGAAGCCTGGACAGTGCCCAGCTCGGTGGAGTCCATGTGTAAGGGTGAGGGATCAAGGAGGGTATCTGCTGCAGTGGAAAGGTGGGGTGGCCTCCAGATTCCCAAACCTGGACCTTAACCTGCCTAATGTCCTGGGCTGGTCTGTTACCTGGTGGCCTGGCTTCCTCACCTGTGAATGGGTCACAGTAATGGGGTTTCCCTAAAACAGGGTGAGCTCTGGTCTCGATGAGGTATGGGTAGGGTGGGTTATCTGGGTGTGTGACGGCGGGTGGGGCCCTGGGCTGGATCTGGATCCGGCTCCCGGAGGTGGGGGAGGTGCCCGCGCACAGACAGCGCTGGCGGGCGGGGCAGGCGCAGTTCGCAGAGCAGCGGCGGCGGCGGCGACAGCAGGTGGGTCGCAGCGGGTCCTGCGGGGATGGGTTCAGGCCCGGGAGCCTGAGAAGGCTCGGGTGTCAGTGGACAGGGGCACAGCGGAGCTGACTCCGGGGACGGCGGCAGTGTGTCGGGGCACGGGGAGGTGCCCGTGGCCTCGGCTTCAGGGACGAGGGCGCCCCCGCCTCCCCACGCGGTGCGGGGATATCGCAGCCAAGCGGCGGGGGTTACGGGGTGACCGCCACCGTCTGAGGCCAGGTGGCCGTGTGGGCCACACGTGGAGCCAAAGAGCCGCTTCTGTTCCGGGTCCTGAGGTCCTGGCCCAGCTCCGGGGAAGCCTTGGGTTTCACCTTGCGCTTGGATCCCAGACCACTGAGCTGTTCCCAGCGTCTTGGTCTCTGGGGCTGCCCCCTCCCCACCCTCAGGGCCACGGAACCAGCTGGTACCCAGGTTGGGTTCCACCAGGCTCCCTCTGTTACCCTTGACCCATCCCAGCCCTCCAGCAGGAGGGGACAGAGAGAGGACTGGGTGTGGGTGGTCTAGGAGGGACTAAAGGCTGGCCAGGACGCGGCTGGGCAGCCTGTCATTCCTCTCTGGCCCTAGAAGGTTCCGGCGGCTGGCTTGGTCGTATAACTTCGTATAATGTATGCTATACGAAGTTATTACGTATGTATTTGGCAAAGCACACGGAACTGTACAAAACAAAGAGGGAACCATAATGTAAAATTGAGTTAATAATAATGTATCAATATCAGTTCATAATTGTAACAAATGTACCACACTAATAATGTAAGGTGTTAATAGGAGAGACTGTGGAGGGGGGGAAATGTTATCGGAACTATGTGTATTTTCTGCTCAGTTTTTCTGGAAACCTAAAACTGCTATGAAAACTAAGTCTAGTACTTATTTAAAATTAGGAAATAACCAAAACAAAAACAACAACAAAAGATGCAGTCCCCTTCAAGATTGAAAGTCTTTCCCAAGAAAGCAAAGACCCTCATTGTTATCAAGGCAAGGAAGGCTGAGACAAGACGAACTCCCCTGAGAGGTGGCATGGCTGGACAGAGACACTTTGTTTCTGCTTCTAGCCAGCTGGGTAGCCGTCTGATGCCAGCCTGACGACATGGGCAACCCCCATCCCAGGGGCAGAGACCAGAGAGAATATTTTCATTGGTCACAAAGCCAAGCTCTCAAGACATAAAACAAGACAAAAGGAGAATCTTATGATTTTCCTCCTTATGATAAACCACACAAAAGACAGAGACTAGGAAAACAAGGACTATTCCTAGGAGGACTTTGCATCCATAAGCACTGAGTACTCAGGACCAAGTTTTCAAGAGTCACAATTCAAAGAATTAATTTTTACAAATGTTTTTCTCCCGCCAATCCAAATTTGGAAAGCAAGGAACAAAGAAAATTTTTACCCTCCTCTCTCAACCGGGTACTGCAGACAGAAATCCAGAAGAGCTCATTTTGATAAGAATTTCTACGTTCTGCCAGCTTTTGTCAGTTCTCCCAGGATCCAAAGCAAATGGGGACATTTCGGCTTTTTAGGATCCCATCCCTGTTACCAGAAACTCTGGTAACAAAATTCTACTTCCATCCTCTTAGGGTCCCAGCTGTCTGAGAATTAAATTGATATAAGACATTAACAGGAGAAAAGCCTAAAAAATTATCCAATACAAGTTTTACGTGGCATAGGAGCCCTCATAAGGAAATAAAGACCTGAAGAAGTCAGTTACTACAAAAAATAGTAACTTAAAAGATAAGATAAGATAAGATAAGA